GTCCTGGCTCCGGTCAGTGGGGCGCTGGCTTGGCCGGCCGCCTGCGAGGCCCTGTCCTGGCTCTGGTCAGTGGGGCGCTGGCTTGGCCGGGCGCCTGCGAGGCCAGGGCCTGGGGTGGCAGAGGAGGGAGAGCAGGACCGCGCATCCGTGGCCCAGCTCTCGGTGTCGACAGTCAGCCATGCTTCCCCGCATGCCATGAGCCCCCGACCTCGGGGGCGGCTGCCCGCTGGCTTGAGGGGCTCAGTGTCTCCAGCCCTCCCCCAGCCCGGGGCATGACGTGCTCACACGGAGACTGTGCTCGGGTCCGTGCGGCCACACCCTTGGGGCACTGGGTCATGTGGGTGAGGGGAAGCCGGTCACCAGGACAAGTAGAACTCTTAGAAGTCGAATGCTGTGCAGGCAAGTCGCGGACTCATGTCTCTCATTCACACCTCATCGCCCAGGTGGGGGAGTTCAGGAGCCCAGCGCCCACTCAAGCCTCACGGAAGGAGGAGTCCCCGGGAGGTCTCTGGCGCGCAGGAAGAGTGTGCAGGCTGCGGGGTCCGCCCCCGAGCTGCCCAGAGCCCATGGCGGGCCCTCAGCGGGGGCCCCTGCCGGGGACGAAGCCGGCATGGCCCCGGGGAGCTGCAGCACAGGGCCAGGGGCCGTGTCCCCCGCGCGGCGGCCGGCGGGCGGCAGCAGCGGTGCGTCCCCCTTCAGGAGGCTGTACGAGTCCATGAAGGAAGAGCTGGATGTCAAGTCAGACAGGGCAAACGTCCTACAGGATCGGAGGAAATCAGGGGCGCTCAGGCTTTGCAGGGAAGCCCCAGAAGGCGCCTGCGGTTTACAGGCTGAGGTGCAAGCCCCGGTCTCCCTAAAATTCAGAAGGAAGTCGGGGCGAAGCTCCCAGGTCAAGGCAGACCCGGTGTGGGGAGAAGGAGGAAGCAGCCTGGCCTCGGAGCAGAGAGCCGGGGATGGGTCCGGCCAGCACCCTGGGGAGGCCGCCAGCCCGGCCCGTGCCCGTGCGGGGACGCCCGTACCACCGCCCTCCGGGCAGAGTCCCTCACGAAAGCGTCGGCGCGAAGACCTGGGGGGCCCGGCCGGAGGCGCGTCTGTGAGTCCGGGTCCCGACCAAGGCCCCGGGGCCGATGGGCGAGCCTGGGCTCCCTGGAAGTTCCTAACTGGAGGTCCGACGCCCGCGAAGGTGGCCAGGGCCGAGAGCCCTGGAGCCACCCCGGACAAGCCCCCCAAGAGCAGGAGGAGCAGCCCCGCCCGCGAGGCCCTTCCCAGGACAGACCCCGGGACTCAGAATCCCGCCGTCCTAGCCCCGCTGCCCGTCCAGCTCGAGCGGGCTCAGAAAGACGCGCCCCACCAGGCCGAGAAGCCGGGGCTGCCTGGCCTCAGCCACGGTGCCGACCCCACCGGTAAGTTCACACGCCCGCGCGGCCTGGCTGCGCACAGGGCGGCTGCCCCCTCACGGGGTTTGCGGGGCAGCTGGCCCAGCCTGCCCTCATCTGTTCGGGCAGACTTCGGGGGCCGCAGAGGAGGGGAGGGCGCAGCCTGGCCTGCGGGGACCGTCCCCCGCCGGGTGCCCCAGGGCAGGAGGTGGGACGGCAGCGGCTGCTCAGTGTCCAGGCCAAGCGCCGGGACCCCCCTGGAAATCGCTGCCTCCTGGGCCAGGCCAGGATGTGCAGTCGCTGCTCTCGGGGTTCTTCTACCCTGGACCAGCCCCACAGCTCACTGCCCAGCCATAGCGGCCGGGCCTGGCCTTCCGGCCCCCATCTTGCGGCCTGAGACACGCAGTGGAGTCGCAAGGCGGCGGCAGAGCTGTGCCCTCGGGACCAGCTCCTGGCGTGTCCCGGGGCCCCTCTGCCTGTTGCTCCACAGGCCGGTCCTGGTGAGGCCACGGCTTGATCTGGGGTAGGCCCCACAATCACTCAGCCAAGTCCACGCTGGACTTGTCACCATTTTAGAGAGACCGCGCTGGAATGGGGGGTACCGTGGTGCTGGGTGGCCCCTCCGCGGGCTCCTGAGGCAGCTGAGGCTTCACCAGCCTCCGAGGGACCGGCCGGGTGCGCCGTCCTCGCATCCTGGGCTCTGGGTCCACCGTGTGCTGTGGCCCTGCATGTCTGTCCGTGGCTAGGTAAAACGGAGGGCGCGGCTCTGAAGAGAAGGCGGGTCTCCTTTGGCGGTCGGCTGAGACCTGAGCTCTTTGACGAGAACTTACCGCCCAACACGCCTCTGAAGCGGGGAGAGACGCCTGTGAGGAGGAGGTCTCTGGCGCCCCACACTCCGGCCGCGCTGAAGAAAATCATCAAGGTGAGCTGAGCTGGCTCACCCGGGTCCCCGGCGCCCCCACCCGGGTCCCTGACGCCCCCACCCGGGTCCCCGGTGCCCTGCCCCGTGGGCTCGGAGGCCTTTTCCTTTCTAACGCCAGCCGGCGCTCACTCGTTGGGGCTGGGCAGTGGAGCGTCCCCCAGGGCCAGACTGGCCTGCAGGGCCATCATGGCTTTTCCTGAGGCCCCCTGCCCCCCTATTGTCCCCGCCCCCCGGTTTTGTGTCTGAGACTGATGAGGAGAAAGGGAACCCGGGCGCATTTCCGGCACCTGCTCTTTAGGACCTGAGCTTCCTGCCCGGGCGGCTTCTCCTGCTGGCTGGTCTCCAGGGAGGAACGGCCTGCCCTGCCCACGGCCCGCAGCCCTCGCGTCCTTCAGACCACAGGACGCGTGGCTGTCCGGGCGCCATCGGCTTGACCCTGGCTCCCGGGTGTAGACCAAAGGGGTCTGGACCCCACAGGCTGTTGTTTCCCTAAAAGGGGGCGGCACCCCACTTTCCCTCGCACTTGGCAGATGGGCGGTGGTGGAAAGGTATTTGGCCCTTGGACAAGTATCGCCTGGACGGGTGGTCCTGGCCCAGGGACGACTCGCGGGGTCTCATGAGCTCCTGCGTCTTGCAGGAACAGCCTCCATCCCCCGCCGGGGGCGCTGCTTCCGAAGCGCAGCGGGAGCCCGGGAGCCCTGGGGCCAGCGGTCCTCGTCGGCGGTCCATCAAGGCGGCCACCACCCCCGGGAGGTCCCCTCACGCCTCCGACGCGCCCAAGAGAGGAGCGAGGAGGAGCAGCGGCTTGTCTGCAAAGCGGGCGTCCCTGGAGCGCGGCCGGCAGGGCGCCCTGCACCTGCTCTGTGCCAGGAGGAGGAGCGGCGCGTCCGAGGCCAACTTGCTGGGTTGGTACCGCGCGGACGGCGCGCAGGGCGCCTCCCCGTGGGGCTGGTCTTGACGTCTCCATGTTTTCCTCCACCACAGTGGCAAAGTCGTGGGCAGATGTGGTCAAACTCGGTGCCAAGCAGACGCAGGCCAGAGCCGCCAAGCCTGCCCCGCCGAGGCAGCTGCACAGGAGGCCCAGGCAGGCCCCCGCCCCGCAGGTAGGCACTGCCACGCAGGCGGAGCCCTGCGCCCCGCCCCAGAGCACGGCGTGGCCGCCCACCCTGACCCGCGTCCGTCCGCCGCTCTCTTCCAGAAGCCGGCTGCGGGCAGCGTGCGCCTGGCCCAGTTCAGCACCGGCCACGCCAACTCGCCCTGCACCATCACCATCGGGAGGGCGCACCTGGGGCAGGCCGGCGTCCCCGCCCGGCCCCACCGGGTGCTGAGCCACCTGGTGTTCAGAGGGAAGGCGGACTTCAGCGAGGACCTCTCAGGTACAGCGGAGCCCGGCGCGCCCCAGGCCCGCGACGGGAGTGTGCGCGTGTGCTCCTGCCTACGGGCAGGTCCCGGTGCGCGGACGCGCGTGCAGTCTGCGTGTGTCCCGTGTGCGTGCAGGGGCTCGGCTTGCTCGCCTGCTGTGGGCGCGGCTGTGGAATAAGCTGCGGGTCAGCTCCTGGGGTCCTGGCGCCCCAGGAGGCGGCGGCGGCCCCTCCCGCCCCCTTGCCCAGGGTCCGACGGGGCCCGGGTGAGCCTCGGCCTGAGCGGCAGTCGGCCTTCCCTTCTGCTGGCACAGCCGGTGCAAAGATGCCCTCCGACCACGCCGAATGAGCTCCTGCCGCCGCCTGCACCCTGGGTCAGGGCGGGCTGGCACCGGGCTTTGGACTCTCCTGTGTAGGTTGACCGGAGGCGCCCACAGGCGTGCAGGGCCCCTGTGTCAGGGCAGACCTCGGTGTCACCTGGGGGAGCACGCAGCCCCGCCTGCTCACAGCAGGACACTGCGTCAGCACACGTGGCGCTCACCAGCGAGTGCCCACCTCTGCTGGCGTGTCCGTGCTCTGTGGCAGACACTCCCACGCGTGTCACGAGTCTGGCGGCGAACGCTCAAGGCCCTTTTAAATGAATGGAAATGAGGGGCTTTGGCCTGAGAGGGGGGGCGTTCCCCGCTCGCCTGTCTGCTGGCCGGTGCCCTGGATGAGGCGAGGGTTAGTGGGCAGCGGCTGTGGCTGCCTCAGGCCCGCTGCCCCAGCCGGTTGCAGAGGGCGCCTCGCGGGCCCTGGTCCAGAGGGAAGCGTGAGGAGAGGACAGCTCCTCGGATGTCCCCCCTGCTGGCCAGCGTGCTGGGGCCTCTTCTCAGCGTCCGTCCGTACGTCCCCTTGTACAGTGAAAAGATGATTTCACTTGTCGATACCGAAAGCCAGTAGCCCTGTGTCACTGTTAAAACTTGGAGCTGCTTCATC